AAATCTTGATTACATATTTAAAAAGAAATCTAAATGGATCACAGTTTGGAATTTTCACTTCATTTACGAATGGAACACCTGCTATACCAAAGTAGCTTCTTGATATCACCAAAATGCAATCAAACCTGTTTTTTTAAAAAGATCATTCCAGAATTGTTCAAACATATCAGAATTTGGCAAAAGTCTTCCTCTTGTTGCCTCATCGTGGAACACATTCCAGCTACTAGCACTGAGAACTACTGGAGCAGATCTTCCAAAATATTCATAGGTCACACCTATGTTTCCTGACTCAAACTAGGTCTCTCTGCACAGAACCTAGGTCCCATTTTTCTCAACAGAAATACAAATTGTCCTTTTCTAACCTGATAGTTATTTAGAAGTCAACGTGCCACAGTGTTTGCATCTGTTACGACAATGCTACTTGAAGGATTATAGTCCAATCAAGGCAACTATTCCTGAAGGCACTCAAGTTTCTTTTAAAACATAATTGATTGAAAATTAAATTAACTTTAAATTCTACTACTCCTTCCTGCATTTCAGTGCAAAAAGAAGATACAATTTTAATTCTTGTCTTGAAAGATACTTTGGGGCAATATAGTTAATTAGAATAAAAATCATGTTTTCTAATCATTTGTTTTTCCTGAATTTACCTGTATTTTAGGAAGTTAACTGGCTAATTCAAAACTACTGATATGCAGAGCAACTGTTAGAAACCTTCTCCCTAGATTTGTGTATCTGACAGAATATCATAGGATTACAGCAAAACCAGAAAAGATGCATTTACAACAACATTTTAGAATAGATCCAAGAGAGTCCAAGTGACCCACAGAAGTGCTTCTTTGTACTCAACAGCAGGTTTATGGACATGTTGTAAATGTCAGACTACGCCTTTTTTAATAATAAAGAAAGGCACTATAATACTGTTTTCTTGTAACCAGGACAGAAAATCATTTGGTAAGAGTAAGAACATTTATTGGTTTTGACATAAAAAATTTCTTGCTGTGAGGTGGAAATGCTGTACTCCAAATACCGGAAGAAACGTGAAATCTCAAGGGTTATGTTCAGTAACTCTTGGTTCAAAAACAGACGGTGCAGGTACATTATTTAGGAGCTTGTCAAAGATGATCTTCCACAGCACACTACTTCAGGCTGCATCTCTTGCTGGGCATGTGAAGGGGGTTCTCTTTAAAATATGTGGCACTATCAGCTGTCACAGCTCAGTCCCCTTATTACCTGATTTCCATAGCATCTTGGCCACTGTGGCAATTCTTGTTAGCAGTCTTAATATTAAATACAATCATGCCTCCCACAAATCTTACGTTAGGGCAGTTTTTGGGATGAGAATTTCAATATACACAAGTTGGAAAATTCAAAGTGACATTTCTCACAGAAACCATAGCTGGGAGCTCTTAAACAAGCTTTATATCCTTGCATTTAGTAGTATTGTTAATGGCTTAAATATGCCTCAGATTAAATGAGAATGAAGAATGGTTGCACATGACTTCTGTACATGTAATATTTCAGCCTTATTCATTTAACAGGTTTTTGGATTTCAGTTTTTTAAAACATAAATAATTATACATGTTTTAGAAATTGCACCTTCAAATAAACACAACATTGGGTCACACATTCAAATAAATGGTGGGAAAATTACAAAAAGGGATAAGATTAGTAAAGCATAGGACAAAGCAGCTAGATTTACTGAATCGTATTATGCAACACATAATGGGTTAGATCTCAGATGAGTAGATCACTGTAGCTTCATTGGCTCTAATGAAACTGCTCATTTGTACCAGCCACAGATCTATCCTATGGTTGTGTATGCGACATTGCAGTTAGATAAAGATACACATTTATCTGAAGCATCATGTCTGCTAAAATTTATGAGATGAGAAGGAATTATACATATGGTTCATGGGCACAGTGTACAGCAATGCCATTCCAGAAAAAGAAAAAAGCGTAGTATAGAAAACGATAGCTGGTGAAAACATTCTTTTCTTACTCTTGAATAACTTAAAAGAACAGGAAAAAAAAAGACAAAAATTAAACACATTTTTGTGCTTAGGGCAAACAAAAGAAACAATTTCACATATTGTCATGTTTTTAGAAAACAGTGTCTCCTAAACACAGTTATAATGCCCAGAAATTATAAAAAAATACTGAAGATTTTCTTAACGTATCAAATAACTAACAGGAGTTTTAACATGGAGGAAAACAAACAGAAGGAAACAAATGTAAAATGCTGAACTTGAAAAATTCAAAACAACTCTGGGGTGGCGCTAGCAACAAAATATCCTTGCAAAAGAAAAGAATGACTTCGCTCCGATAGAAAAACCAAAAAAGGCATGTGAACTTACTAGCTTTTTATTTTTAGGTAAGTATCTATAACTCAGCAACTTTTCACTTTCTCTAAAAACTGCGGGGGAGGGAATCAGGATATTTGGTATTTGATTTACTGAAATATTCAAAGACTATCAGCATAAACAGCAATATGTAGGCAGGTGTCATTATTTTAAAATATATTACTATACAATTAAAATAATCTTTGATGGAAATACATGCAATGTATGGAATTTTGTTTTAAAGAATGAAAGGTTTTATTTTTGGCATTTGAAATGGCCTCGTGTGCTTCAACATACAATAATATGACATGCTGTTATGGACGTTGAGCAAATAATTTCTCCTTCTCTTAAAATAAGTGGAATATGTACCAATCTTTCAAATTTCTGGACATCTTCGACAATAATAGGGAACTATCAAAATTAATAGCAGATAAATTATATCCTTTCAGATATGAATAACAAGTAACAAAATGTTTACAATATATGTTTACCTCTGTGAAGCCTTGACGTACTAAGATAGATGAGAAACTCCTTTCAGAGATATTGTACACATGAGCAAAAAAAGTTACATCAGCATGGAAGACATTTTGTGAAATCTTCTTCACTGTAATCCAGAAGCAATCAGTTGCTGTGAAAAGAAAAGTTAGTATATCCCCCTCCACTCTTTTCTACCAATAAGCATTATGAAATCATTTACAATACTAGTCATTGATTTAGGGTGGTAAAGTGCCATTTTAATCTAGTAAAGCAATGATTTCCAATAGCTATTCATAAACATATACCCAGAAAGCAACAGTAGTCTTTCTGTTGAACAAAGCAGGTGTTGGATTGAGTTCGTAGGCTCAAAGTCCACTGAAGTCAATGGAACTCTTTCCATTGATGTCGATGAACTTTGAATCAGTTCCTTCAGGATAGAGCCTATGTGCTAAATTCTAAACCAACATCATTTCCCATTTCCCTTGTGGGTGCATTAGCAATCAAACACAAGTCATTCCAACAAAGAGAAGAGGTCTTGGGCACCCCAAGCTTGACAGGACATCAGCAGAGATCCTTGAAATTCGTTTTCTGTAGAAAAGCATAGGATTTGCCTTTTTGCAACCCCTGCGGCTGATTGCCATAGGCCCTGAGCCTCCCCTCTGATCAACGAGAGGCAAAAACCGCATTTAAGTATGAGAATCGTTGCATTAAAATACCTTTAGGTACTCAGATGAATAGTGTGCTCTGAAAAACAGACTGCTGTTTTCCAAAACACCCATGGGTGTATGTTGTGTAACTTAAAAACTCTTTCTTCTATTGCCTATAACGTTTTACACCAAGCTGTTCAACTACTGAGGTTAGCCAATCCAAAAAGGGGAAAAAATAGAAAATATAATACATCTTAGAAGTTACTTATGTTTAATGCTTAAAAGTCTGAATGCACAAACAATAATCTACCATTATAGAAGTACTGGTGGGTCAATACAATGCATTAGAACTATGTACAATGACACAGTTTAGTATCAAAATCTTTCTACACTGTAGAGTATTACGAAACTGTTAATGACATCAAACACTAAGCACTTAAGACACCATTTTTTGCTACCACATTTGGAACTTCAATGAACAGTCCATTTTAACTTGCAGCATCAATCCATTTCTAGTATCAAATTAAGTAATTTTCTACTTATACAATAAGATTTATCTACACAGTTCTTTTGATTTTGATCCATAGCAGCAAAGGCACTGTACATCAGCAGATCCACAGACTTAAAGATTTTTTTTTAAAGCATTCAAAAAAAAAATCACAGATCATAGTTTAACAGCAACAACAACAACATAAAAAGATAACACAACGTCTCTGGCATGATGGCTCAGCCTGCATCCATTTCAGGGACATCCAACTAAGCCGTGGATAGAACTTGTGGCAAATAAAGCAAGTCCTTCTCTCAAGTGAGAATCCATTCTTTTCTGTACTTCAGAATGAGTGCTCTTGTAAATCCTACCTCTGAGGTCCTTGCTTTTGTAGTTTGTACATGCGTAGGAATCCATTCTTATTTCTGTGCGGTTTCCAATGAATATATCAAATATTTCCCATAATCTCTTTGTAACTGCTAAATTGCCCAAAGACACACATCTCCCTTTTCAAAGAAATGTGGCCAAAGCATCCAGAAGGGATAAAGGTGATTGTTTGAGGCAAGTTATTGTACTTCTCTCTACAATATAACAGAGAGATATAATATTAAAAAAATACCTGGGTTGACACTGAAGTAGTCTAAGAGCAAAAGAAAAAGCACTGAAAACAAATCCAATGACAGATTATTAGATACACTAATACAAATCCTATTTTGATGTATTATTCCTTACAATTTTTCATTTTAGATGAACTACAAACTTACATGTAAATCATTGGTTATAGGTTTGTAATTACGATTTTAGATTCCCAAGACTGCCTAAAATAGTTAAACAGCTTCCTCCCATAACAATTATCATCTACGTTACAGAAGCACTTAGCAGCCTCAACTGAGAGCAATGATTGATTAGTTAACTTTTCTTTTTATAAATTAGTGGTCTATTTACTGCAACTTTTAATTTTGGACTTTTCTCCCCAATCCCTTCAATCCACCAGCAAAAGCACAATATACACAACGCACCTTTCAAACCAAGACAGGGCCAGACAGCTTTATTTAGTCAGTTCATTGTTAGAAAGCCTTCTTTAAACAAAAATAAATATATTACAGCTATAATACATAGTTAAAGATTCAGTTCACTGTTAAGTATGCTTATTCCATCTTCTTCCAAGTAGATATCTGAAGATTTGGTATCACAAGTTCTTAATGAGCATTCACAATTGAATTGCAAATTAGGAGAGGAAAAAATAAACTCCATAACTGTGATGGTCCTCAGTTTGGGTAGGGGGGAAAAAAAGGAATATACAGCAAAGTGCTATGAGGAGGAGTCCTTTTTGCATTCAGATTTGTCTTTAATAAATAACTTCGTAGACTGTTGCCTTCTTGTCCCCAGAGCCAGTGACAATGTATTTGTCATCCACAGAGATATCACAGCTAAGCACAGATGAGGACTCTTTGGACTATGGGAAGAAAAAAGAAAGAAAAATACTATGAGTATCAATAAATTAAGTATTTTTCTGCGTTAGTACACTGAATGAATAGAAAAAGGCACCAGCCTAAAATATTAATCAGGAGAGAAAGAGTTTACTGACTGAGGGGGAGTGCATGGCAGTGCTTATCAAATATCAAAACTGACTGACTCAACTCAGAGATGAAGGGCTGACAGATGAAGTTACAAAAATAATTCTCCAAACTTCCTTCACTTGTAGTATTTAGGGTAACATACAAATGAACACGAAAGGAAGTGAACGTTTTATTGAGTATCAGAGCTGAAGACAACCTGTAAAACAAGAACAACTAACTCCATACACACTATTTATAAGCAATGAGCATTAATTAATGTTTTTAATCTCAACCAGGATCTGGGTGTTTTAAAACAAACCAAAGTAAACCTCTTAAAAAAAAAAGAGTGGTCTTTTCCTGCCTTTACAGAGAGTTGTGCAGAAATCTAAATTCCATAGGAATAATTCTAAAGACCTTAAACCAGTTACAGACATTACACCTTTACTGTTATAAGTGTTGAGAAACTGGTCTATACCCGTAACAGAACAGAAGTTCAGTGCACACAGACTGGTTGAGAAATGGTGGAACCCAGGATAAAGGTTGGCCCACCCACCAAAGGGCAAATATGTGTTTTGTTTGGTACTGATCTAAACTATACCACTTACAGAAAAAAGTGCAACTTAGATCAATTCTTGGGCTTTTTGAATTTCTGTACCTGGTCCTAGACCTTAGAGAACAATAATAACTATTTCTCCCATATCATCTGTTAGCACTTTCCAAATAGAAAAGGAGACAGACAATTTCTTCACTAAGGAATTTTCAATGTCAAAAACAAGTGAAAAGATGAACAAATACTAGTGTTTTGAATGGCATAAGCACTTAAATGTAAGATTCAATGGATAAACAGAGGATACAACAAATAGCAGCTTTCTCTATGCTGTATTTCTGTATCTATATCTAGAGAAATCTATTATGATATGATGTTTATCTTGTAAATTTATAGAAGGAAATTTGCATTATTTTCAAATTATAATTATTCCTTGGTGTAAATTCTAGGAGAGTTTCCTCTAACAAAAATATATATGATACATAAATACATCAGCATTTTCCATAGTGGCTAATGCTGTAGCAGCCAAGGCCTTCCTAAGCACATTAAACCTGCACGAAATGGTCCCTAGTGGATTTCATGTACTTTTCTGCTCTTTCCGAGTCCCTCATTAAGGAGACTTTGTGGGGGAATATGTTTTCTGCTCTCATCACTAGGTTTGGTAGAAACAATTAGTTGGTCTTGTGCCATATTTTAATAGTGGTTGGGCTCACGGGGATTAAGCTGACCTCTGGAAGCTCATTCTGGATTTGGATACTCTCAGCTAAGAATATTCTACCTCCAGCTTTCTCACACCCAGACAAGCTGCACTGTCCCAAAAGGCAGAGTTTATTAATGAAGCTGACTGCTGACTATAGAAAACTTAGAAAAAGCAGGAAAAGAGCTAGGTCCAGTAAGGGACCTGGATGCAAAAAATGGATCCAAGATAGACAAGTAGTCCATCTAGCCCAATAATGTGTCTAGAGGGAGAACACTGAACCAGATATATCTAGAGTGATCTATCCCCTATTCATCATCTTTCCTGGCATCTACTTTTATTGGTTTAGATATGCCAGAGGAAACATTGCCAACAGTTTTGTTCAACAGATATTAATAGCTCTATCATGCATGAATTTATATATAGTCCCTTTTTGAACCTGACTATGCTATCTGCCTCTACCCTCTCCTGTTGCAATGCATTCCACAAGTTAACTATGCATTGCATAAAGAAGTACTTTCTCTTGTTAATTTTAACCCTGTCTCCTGCTAATTTCAGTGGGTGCCTCGTAGCTCTAGTACTCTGGGACATGGTGAATAACAACTCTCCCTTCTCTATATCTTTCCAATTCTGCTATATGCTTTTTGAGATGCAGAGACCAGAACTGTACATAGTATTCAAGATATGGATGCACCAAGGATTTGTATAATAGCATAATTGTACTCTCCGTTTTGTATTCTATTTCTATTCCCTTCTTAACGATGCCCAGCTTTTTACTGGCTGGTTTTTTTTGTTCGCCTCTGCACATTGAACTAACATTTTTAGAGAACTATCCACAAAAACTCCAAGATCTCTTTCCTGAGTTTTAACACCTACTTCAGAACTGAGCATTTGTACATTTAGTTGAGATTATTTTTCCCAGGTGCACTACACTCTGCACTTGTCAACACTGAAGCTTATCTGCCATTTTTTGCCCACTAACTTAACTTAGCGAGATCTTTCTACAGCTCCGCTCTGTCAGCCTAGAATTTGACTACACAGATAATCTGGAAGCATCTACCGAGTTGAAATTTCAGAGTGCACTCCCATTTCCAGATCATTAATGAAAAAGCTGAACAAAAGTGGGCCTAGCACAGATCTCTGAATAACCCCACTTTTGACCTCCCTCCATCCTGAAAAGTGACCATTTATCCTTCCCTTTGCTTCCTATCTTTTAACCAAGTCTCAGTCCACAAAAGAACTTTCCCTCCAATCCTGTGGCAACATGGGTTTTTTTTTAAAGCCTTTGATGAGGGAACCTCTCAAAATATATTTGGACTCCAAAAAGCTCATGTGAACTGGATCCCCCTTGTCCACATGCTTGTTAACACCCTCAAAGAACTCCACCAGATTGGTGAGGCAGGATTTCCCTTTACAAAAACCATGCTGACTCCTCCCCAGATGATCACATTTGTCCATGTAATTGCTGAACTTATTCTTCATTACAGATTCTATCAACTTGCCAGGGAGGGAAGTGAAATTCACTGGTCTGTAGTTCCCAGGATCACCTCTGAAGCCCTTTTGAAAGATGGGCATTATGTTGGCAGCACACAAGTGTTCTGGCCTGAGGCCATTTGTAACAACAGGTTACGGTCTACTGCCAACAGTTCTGCAATTTCATCTTTGAGTTCCTTCAGAACTTTTACATGAATGCCATCTGGTCCTGGTGACTTACTAGCATTTAATTTATCAATCTTTTCTAAAACTTCTGTTGTCACTTCAACGTGGTCCAACTTTTCATAGCCATTTACTAGGAAGGACTGATCAGGCACTGGAATTTCTTCAGTATTTTCTTTAGTAAAAAATTAATTTATTTAGCTTCTCTTCTATGGCTTTATCAACCCTGAGTGTACCTTTTACACCATGGTCAACTAACGGTCCCACCAATTCTTTTGCTGGCTTCCTGCTTCCGATACATTTTTTAAAGGTTTTAAGATTAACTTTAGCATCTTTTGCTATACAGTCCTCAAATTCTTTTTTGGTTGCTTCTTTTACATTTGACCTGCCAGAATTTGTGAGCTTTTCCATTTTCCTCATTTTGGCAAGTCTTCCACTTCTTAAAAGATATCTTTTGGCCTTGAATGGTCTCCTTAACTGCAATCAAACCATGCAGGGGTTTCATTCAACCACTTGGTATCCCTATTGATTTGTGTTATCACTTTTCCTGAGCCCCTAACATAGTTATTTTAAAGAGCTTCCAAGCTGCCTGCAAGCCCTTTACAGTTCTGCCTACTCCTTTTAACTTGTTCCTAAAATCCTCATTTTTTGTGTAATTTCCCTTTCTAAAGTTGTGTATTTTCATCGTGAAATTTTTTGGCTTGCTCCCTCCCACTAAAACTTTGAAAGCAATTAAATTACAATCACTATTCCAGAGTAGATCACCAACAGATACCTCTTGAACCTGGTCATGTGTTAGTATTAGGTCTAGAACTGTTTCCGACTTTGGGGCCTGGCCCTCATTGTAGAAACTGTAACAAGAGTTAGGTGCCAATGCTACCTACTCAAGCACATCAGCCTGCCTAGGTGGTTGGGGAGTGTATGCTCCCCTCAGTGCCTGGCCTGCAGCCCTTAAGGGATGTAGATATGAGGACATCTAGTTTCTAACCTTCAATTACATTTACACAGGAAATAAGCACCAAGATGCTCAGACTAGGACAATTCTGGGAATACAGAAGCAAAAAGCTACAGTTAAGCAATGGAGGCACCTCCAGCGCTAGGAATTAGCTGAATCTAGATGGTTAAAAGGACTCAAACCGTATTTTGAACCTTGTCCCAAATAATTCGTTTTCAATAAAGGTGACTGTGCTTGTTTTCACTGTGCCATCATGGAAATTGACAGCTGCGTCCTGTATAGGTCTCTGGATTGTGACCATATTCAGTAACATGTATAGTAAGTATCCACTCGGGAATCTGTGAATGATTCCAGAGTGCCCATACCTTCATTTAGGAGGAAGGGGGCAGAGTTTGATAGTAACTGTAGATGCCCCAAGGCATCTACACTTTTCATCTTTTTTGAGCAATTTGGCATACTGATGAATCCAAGGCTTTGCACAGCTTTGACAGATGGGGGTAGATGCTTTCAGTGATGACTGGGAACCCAAATCCAAGCTAGTTCTTCAAAGCACTGTCTCTTCTGATGAAAACAAATTTGGTTTTGCCCACATTCATTTTGAGCCCTCTGCTGTTCACCCAAGAGACTGATTGTCCTGAGACTCTAACCTAGTGGTTTCCAACCTCTTTAAGTAGATCACCTTTGGCATTTAAAAGCAACCCAAGATCTACTGTGTGCCACCCCCAACCTCCCACCACCTAGCAGGTTAGTCTGTGTGGAGGGAAGTGGGGGGCAGATTGAGGCAGAGGAAGAAAACATTATTTGGGGGCGTGCCCCCCCAGCAGGTAGGTTTGTGGGGGAAGGGGCAGGGGGAGGGGAAAGGGCTGTGGGGGGAGCAGATCGAGGCCCCAGCTCTAGCCCCTCTTCCTCCCTCACTGCTGGGGCCTCAATCTGCCCCCCGCAAACAGCAGGGAGGGAGGAAGTGGGGCTGAGGCAGGGGCAGGCCCTGCACAGCTAGGGTATGGGACAGAGTCACAAGTGGCTCATCTGGGGGCCACGGCGGGGTTAGCACATACCCTGGGAGGGCACAGGGGGGTGCATGCCATTGAATCTGTATGCTGGCTGGCCTGGCTGCTGCTGCGTGCTGGGGTGCGCCAGGAAGTGAGCTAAGTGGGGGGCTGCAGGCACGCAAAAATTCACCATAGCCCCCGCTCCCAGCTCTACCATCACCCAGCCCAGCCGCAACAAAGTGCAGCCCAGACCGCGGTGAAGAGCACAGCACTGCCTTCCCCCTCCCCCTGGAATCTGTGCAGGGGGCTGGGGGCAGAAGGCCGGGGCTGGAAGACAGTGCTATGCTCTTCATGGCAGCACTGGGAGGGGGGCTACGGCAAGTTTTCAGGTGCCTGCAGCTCTCCGCAAAGCCCTCCTCTCAGTACTGCCTGGCGCACCCTGGCGCCACTCTGCAGCGGCAGCTGGCCCAGCTGGCATGCAGATCCAGGGGCACATGCTCCCATGCCCTCCTGAGGTGCACCGCCTGCACTGCCCAGTGTTTTGGGGGGATCTACCGGTTGATCAAATTAACTGGTTGGTGACCATTGCTCTAACCTCTTTCTGAAGGTACTAGACAGTTTTGTGGCATATGAGGTTAATCTGAGATCCCAAAGACTATCGTAGTTCTGCTACCTGTTTCATATGGGGGGGGGGGTGCAGTAGTACCTCATAGTAAACTGCATCAAAAGCATTGAGATACAGCTTCTTTCTGCCACCATATGGAACTCATCTTTCGGAACTACTAGGGCCGTTTCAGTGCTGTACCCAAAACCAGAGTGCGAGTGTGAAGCATCCAGAAAGCCATATGCATTTTTGGAGTTTGATCTCTTCAATGATTTTCACTAAAAGTGAGATTCTGAAGAGTTGGAGAGGTCTTATTCTGCATCAAACATTGGTTTCTTAAGGACTGGACAAATTTATTTTTCTGAAGGGGGAAATCATTAAATTCCATTAGAGATGAAGATAGTTAATATCTGTGTGATGGTTTAAAAATTACAGCAAGGTTACCGCTTCCAATTACATTCTATAGAAGTCTTATATAAGGGTCAGCTCTTCAGTTCAAGCATTTGCCCGTGTCATTTAATAACTTTTTAATATTAATACATGTTTTGACATCTTAATGCTGCTTTATCTATAGCAGTCATCAAAAGCTACTTTAAGAAAGAAAAAAAATGGAATGGCAAATTAAAGAAGCAAGCTTGGAAAAATTGCTCATGTGACTGTCATGCTGACTATAGCTTTCACCATTTTTAGCAGGATATAGAACATTCAGTGAATACTAATTTAATCATGTCATATGTATGCCGCATCATACTGCCCATGGCAAGACACACAAAGGAAGTGGAGGGCAGGTGGAGGGGTTGCAGGGAAGGAAACAGACACAAAGATTTCAAGGTTACTTGAAATACACCTTCAAGTCACAGGCCACTTTACTATGACAATGAAATTATTAAAATGGTATTGAGGACCAAATTTTTTGTACCCTTATCATAAGGGACAGTCTTAAAAGAAACAAAATAATTAGCCAATAATTCCCATTTAAAAAACCTCTAAATCAAATGACAGATCTTGAAAAAAATGTACCACGATTGCACTATAGTGTGGAAAACAGCTTTTAGGAGATTATTACCTGGAATATACTGGCTCCATAAGGTGTTCTCCAGGCATTAAGAAGATTATCTTTTCCAGTGCTTACAAACCATTTGCCTGCAATCAAAATACACCCCAAAACAGATTAATCAGAGAAAATTATTAACTTTCATGTTAACAAAAAATGTATCGGAACAACCAAAAGTTTCATCTGATTAGACTATGGTTTTGTTTTGTTTTAGCTACAATGTAAGTATTTTGTAACAAAAAACATTCACACAAGGGAAAGATAAGTTTAATTTTAATACTTAAATTAAACATCTGGTTTTAAATTTCCACTGTATTTATTCAAAAGAGATTTGTCAAGAGAGAGAAAATGCTGGCAGAGAAGCTGTTGCTTACCACAGTGAGCAAATTTGAGCGATAACACACAGCTCTCATGAAGATGTAGCTGATACTTGTCTGGTTTAGTAACATGCAGAACTTCAACGTTACTGTTCTCCATTCCTACTGCCAACCATTCACCAGTTGGACAATAGCCCAGTGAGAAGATCTGGAATTAAACACAGCACAGGCTTCAATAATTAAGGGAGGGGCTTGAAATGTTCAAAGCTGATTGGGCCTACCACATTGTCAGCACTGTTCAAAAACGTGAGCAACATTTTGGTTTCCTATGACAGTTGTTAAAAGATGCTAATTCAGTTCCTATAGTAATTGAGATAAATTAGTTCATGTACACAAAACTCCATTTAGCTATACAAGTTAATATCCTAGCCCATCCAACAGCATTAGAAATATTTTTGTAAGATATCTTTAAACAAAGAGCTACAAGAAATGATACAGATTGTACATCAGCATACTTGAGTCTGGCAAGTCTCCTTTATAAATAAGATTGTCTGATGTTCTTGTGGGAAAAAATATTAATCTGTCAAACAGAATAACAACCCAGAGATATGTTCAGCTGCCATATTGAAATAGTGCTAGAGACCAAGTGAAAAATTATTTTGGAGCAATCCTTCAAGTCTTATTTTTTTAAAACAAAAACATGCTCTTTTTTATAAAAACCACTACAGATTTCTATAACATGTCAAAGTTTTCAAGAGCAAACCTGTGATGTGAAGTCATGCTGTTGTAGCTGTCTCCCTTCTCTGAGGTCCCAGGATCTGACTGTATTGTCCAAACCTCCCGTCCAGAGCTTGGTGCCATCATTAGAAATGTCAATACAGCTGGCTCCATCTGTGTGGCCCTGGAATTGCCTAAAAATGTCAAAAAGAAAACACCTAGTCATGTTAGAAAGAATCAGTTTTGCTCCAAATACTCAGAAGGGATCAGTGTTCATTTTCTGTGTAGATCATGTCTCTTTCTTGTTCAGTTTATTTTTTTTATAATAACTCACGATATTAAGGGCAGCAATAGCATATTTTAGAGGACGGACTTCTAACACTTCTGAGACGACCAAATTAATTTGCTGAATACATCAAATAATCAGGTTAATCGGTTGGACGCTATTTTTTTTTTAATTAGGTTACAAATTTCAGATTGGTGGTGGATCTTTGGCCTTAACTGAGTGGGATTATATCTCTTGGAGGTTTTAGCAAATGATTCTAAATAAACTGGTTTAAGAAGAATCTGAAGGCCCCTTACAACTGCTAAAAGCTCACATTTACATGCTGTGTTAGATTATATTATTGTAGACTGTAAACCTATACTACTAGTTCTTAAAATGCGTTTCACTGTTGATAAGTAATCAACATTCTGAAAATCCATCCCCAAACAAACCAGATCTGAACATGGTGATTTAGGCTCCCTTTTACTTAAGTCACACATGCTTAACACAGATTGGATGCTCTGAGTGTGAACACAACATACTCCGTTTTTCACTCATTTTTTTTAATCTGCTCTGAGCCTTTTTGGAAAGGGCAGAATATGCATCTGAAATAAATACAAATACAAAAAAAAGATTCAAACAATTCCACTTCTGGGGGTGGGGGAAACAAGAAAAGAAAAGACCTAGGGGAATCTTGATATCAGCTGATTTATTGGAAGTATGCAGCAGGCCCCAATCTAGAAACACTAGAATGTAACTTTCAAGTCTGGAATTATAAACTCCTCAAAGCCTACACAGTTACAATTTTATCACTCACTAACTATTCAGGCTGCCTAACAACGATACAGAAAAAAGTTAGGCTGACATGATTAAGATACAAGTTTATTTAAAAATCTAAGGTGTGGGGAGGTAGAGATGGGGGAGGAAAGGCTATGCCTAATTAATTCTTCCCAACCTGTCAATCCAGTTCTGTTGACCTACCTGACTAAAGTCTGGTTGTGCAGGTCCCACACTGCAATGTTCCCATCGCTACAGCAGGAGAAGCAGACCTTGGAATCAGGGCTGATAGCTAGAGCGTAGCAGGCTGGGGCAGAGGATGTCAGCTCTGCTTTTATACGTGGAGTTGGAGCTGCCAAGTCCCAAATGGATAACGTGCTGGCTTCCCCACCAACTATCAGGGTGCGGCCATCTGGGAGTAATCTGCAGGAACGGATGTAGTTATCTCTGTTCTGTGGAGACAGAAGCCATCAAGAGATTACTCATGAGGAAAGGAAAACAGCATTAACATGAGAGCAGAAATCCATAAAAGTATTGTATTCCCTCCTGGTTTTAATGAGCCATTTATACTTATGACAATGATAAAGTGTATTAATGCCAGAAAATTACATGACATTAGGGAAGTACTTAAACTTGATCTGCAAAATTCAGTAGTGAGAGATATTTAATCTTAATTAGCATCAAAATGCAAAGACCTGCATCCAACCCCAAACAATTCAATGTTTCTGCATGCGACAGCTTGTAAGGAAAGTTATGTTTTAATACTTGGTTTATTTCAGTTTAACTCCATGTTGGTGAGTACAAATTTCTTGGCATGTCTCTCCTCTGCTCCAGAGACCTGCTGCTACTATCAAGCAGTGATCAGATCAGGAAGATATTTCAGCAGTTTTCTTTATTTCCAGCATTTCGCAGCTTTGATTTTAGCAGCACATACAACTGGAAGCAGCACGTACAACACGTCATCAAGAAGTGGTAAACGACACAAAAGAAAAGCTAACAATAGCACATCTTGTTACCTCATGCAAATACATTTCCTGAAACTTAACAGCAACTGAGGGAGACTTTTAAAGTGTCACGTACAGACAGGACATTATACACACAAAGGCAAATATAGACTTGAAAAACATTTAAAAGATTTTATTGTAGAAGATTCTTGAAGTACAACACCCACATACCTCAAGCTGGACAACTTAGTTATGGAAGAAACAATAAAACCACTTCAGTGATGCTTAGCAATTTATATCAGCTCAACTTCAGTACTGATGACAGTCCCTGAACAATCACTATAGTCTATATCTTAACGATATCAAGTCAGTCCTACACCAGCTGCTTTCTTTTACTCACTATCATTCTGTTCATAGTTCATCATCATCTATAGGTCTTCACTTACCAGGCAGTCCAGCTGAGAGACAGGGCTCTTGTTTCCAGGGTGGCTGATATCCCAAACTTTGACACATCCCTTCCCACCAGTGTACACATGTCTAGTCGGGTTGCTGATGGTAACTGCACATACTACTTCTCCATGATTCAGAGTATTGATTTGGCGAGCATGTCGAGGGATTCCTGGACCAATGAGGGCATCAGGAGGGAAAGGTACAGGCTGCATCTGGCCATCTGCACTTACATGAAATGAATATGCCCTACAAAAGGAAGGTGAATGCGATTAATCATGCCTGCCTAAAAAAAAAAGACCAAGATATATCAACAAACATTTTAAAAAAATGCATGTAGCTTTGATACTTAATTCAGGCATGTAGGGTACATACAGACATTTGCCACACCCAGTTTATGTTAATGAGGTTTACTTTAAACCAACTAAACATATTCCAGGAGCAGTGCATGCAGCTGGGAGCCATGCAGGGAAACCAGTGCAAGTAACCTGGGGTGCAGAGGGGCAGACAGAATTGGGGAGGGAAGGTTGGAAGGGGAGGGAACAGCACAGCCCCAGGGCTGGGGCAAATAGCAGGGCTTTCCCAGCTCTGGGGCTACACTGCAAAGGTATCAGGCATTCGCAAGATTGGTTTAACCTTTTCTCAGGTCGACTTAACCTGATCTCAAATCTAAGTTAGTGCACCTACTTAGGTAAACTGACTCACAGCACACCATTTTTGGGGCGACTTAAGCCCTCTGCATGCTTGCATGAATGGGCATTTAAATCAACCTAACTCTGGTTAGGTTAATCTAAATGTAACACCTGTGGTCACCAGGCTATCCAGAGCTCCCGAACATCTTCAACTGCATTTATGTTTATAGAAGTCATGGGTGTATACGGCACCTCGGATGACATGAGTAAATCTGGATTTAGATTCCTATCCACGGCATCCAGTTTGGAAACTATCAGCCTGAGAGTTCTTTGCAAGACAAGCTATCCATCCGCAGACCAAACAGCTTCTATGTCTTAAACCACGTACTTATGATTACTATCATGAGCAGGGATATGTAATGCTAGTTTTCAAACTTCAGTGTGCCCAAGACTGGGCCTGACATACATAAGCAGACTGAGAGAAGCCCACATCAGAACCTCCTTGAACACAGAAATAAGAAGCCAAGAATTGCAGAATTTTAACTTCTGGCTGAGCAAAAAAGATTAAAATGACTATTCCCTGAGAACATTTAATTTGTGAATATGAACCTCCAAGTGAGTATGCGTGGTGAAGTCCAACCTGAACCAGCTCTGAAGTTTTATTGCATTTGTTTTGCTGAATGAAATCTCTGACTTCAAAGGATTAAGTTCTCAAGATGCAACTACTGAAATGGCAGACTAGCAAAAATGTGCAGTGTTTTGGGGTTTTTTGGGGGTGTTTTTTTTTTAATTGACATGACAACCACAAATCCCAATTCTGCTTGCTGGAATCAGGACTCTCACTGAGAAAGAATGTGTTGTGTGACTGCCAGGTATGCCACCTGTGAATAACCTATCAACAACTTCATCTCAAAATATTTTCCAGGGAGAAGACTTAGGTTGCAAAATTGTTTTCCTCTAAGATGTGCTGTGTCAGACAGTAGCTATTACGGAACACAAATGTTATAAGAGGACCCATCTATATCTGTCTGTCTGTCTGATTGCTTGTTTAAGAAAAGTTCTTAATTTCCTTAGATTAGCATATTCCTGGTAGTATTGAAAAGGAAACCAGTCATAATAGTAGACAAGGCTAATTCGTAGAAATATTATTTTTTTCAGAATACTGTTTTCTTAATTACCCTGAAATTAGGTGGAAAGGCAGCCTTTACAAGCCAACCATTTTGATTGATATTTCAGTCTCACAACACACTATTTCAATGGCTTTTCAGCAGCATAAAGATTCAACCTTATTCACATAATCTTCCTTTTTATTTTTTTATCCCATTACCAGAAATCTTTCACTCTTTCTGCAGCTTTCACTATACTTTCTCTTCTCTTTCTCTGGCAGGCATGAGCGACAGATCATCATCCTTCATTCCTGACACTAAATACATTCAGACAAGGCTCAAATGGATTGTCGCTGCTGTCAAAAGATGCAATCTGCTTAGTTTTCGTAGATTTTATTTTCAATTAGTGCCTATAGAAATCAGCTATCTATAAAATCTCATCTGTTTAATATACCAGCTATATGTTTGACACTGTATGGTATTAAAAATAAAGCACTAACCCTCCCTGAGACATTGCAGTGATACCCAAAATGAAATTTTAGCATCATTTTTGAAAAGTCATACTTGGGCCAATACCAGCAAAGTTGCTTTGAGCACGGAAACCATCAGATGCCTTCAACAGAGCTACACTGACTTACACTATCTGAGGATTCGGCTCACAAGGCACATAAGTGCTATGTATAATTATTCAAATACAGTTCATCCTGGGAAGATTCTGGTGTTGTATTTCTCTCTCTTTCTCCTACTCACCATTTACTATGAGCCATCCTGATAGAATTGTACCAACGTACTAAGCTCCTAGAGTTATTAATATTTTAAAACATTGTCCTTTACATGTTTTAAGCATTGAAAATGCATTACAAATATATTCCATTATAAGCATTTTCATACGTTTCAAAATACATTTCCTATGTTTTGATTTATATGCTGTACTGTTTCCTAGGACAATCAATCACAACAATTATGCAATAGTTCAAAAACAAAAAAAGGAAGTCAGAAACAAGCTAACCAATGCACTATATACTGTACATTCCATGATAGGGAACTCTCAGCAGAGAATTTATAAAAACTTTTTAAAAAGGGATAAATAAAATAATAAAACCGATAGTGACAATTCTGAATGGCAGCTGTGAAAAATATTGAATTCAAGATGGATCAAATTTAATATTCACCAAACACTTCAAGGGTTCAGTCTCTACAGCCATTAGATCTAGATGACAATAGATAGTCACTGTTATATCAATGTCATTCAAAAACCTTTGAGATGCAACAACACTTTGCACCTTTTATTCCAATATCAGGCATTTGGTATTCTACACACACACACACACACACACACACACACACACACACACACACACACACACACACACAGAGGAAGAAGATTATATGGCAAGGTCCTGATCCTGAAAGTTACTTTGTGCCAACTCATTAAGTCTGCACATGATTCAACTGGAGCCAGCCTGGCTATATACACGATGGGATGTCCACCAGCACAGAGGCGGTAGTGGAATAGGTCATATGACAGCAAGTAACATCTGAACGGCAGGGGGAAGGGATACAACCATAGCATTTACAATTTTTACAATACACATGTATAATAAAATTGCACATACTGTGATCGTGTCCCCACCCTTCATATGTTACTTTGTGTTGCATGCAAGACCTGTAAAAGTAATAAATCATACCAACTGTACTAGACCCCTGAACTATGCCAAAACCCTCTACCCTCTTCACTGTTGGCTGCTCACAGTTTCTTGTATGTGTCACAGAGGGCTTGGGAACCTTCAAGCAAAATTTAAATCAATATGGTTTGTATCACCATTTTATTTCCCCTTCTCCACCAACTCAAGAGAGAAGTGAGTGGAGAGTTCTTCATATTTGTGTAATTCTTTTTTCCAGGCTCATAGCTGTGGGCGACTGGTGCCACCTTAGTCAGGGGAGGCACATGCCCCCACCTGTGAACAGTCTCGCTGCTGGAGGTGAGCGGGTCCGCCCACTGCCGATCTCGCTGCCCGGGGGGGGG